CAATGACTTGCGGGAGGCAGCCGATGAACGTTGTTTTTATCCTTCAGAACGAATCTAGTACCAATTTACCGTCCCCGGTGGGTAGAAGGCTTGATTGGCCCGGGCGGGAGTATACCCGGGGTTTGAACCCAGGACCGCGTGGGTGGTAAGTGTGCCACTTGCCATTACACCACCTCGGAGAATCCCATAATACTCAGTAATTTCATTGACATGCTTCTTTCGTTCTCTACTTTTCTCCCTTTTTTGAAAAGCAGAATGAAAGAAGAAGATTGTGTTCTATCTGGTTTTTTCTGAAAAGGGAGAAAAGTAGGAGAACGAAAGAAGCATGTCAATGAAATTACTGAGTATTATGGGATTCTCCGAGGTGGTGTAGTGGCAAGTGGCACACTTACCATCCACGCGGTCCTGGGTTCAAACCCCGGGTATACTCCCGCCCGGGCCAATCAAGCCTTCTACCCACCGGGGACGGTAAATTGGTACTAGATTCGTTCTGAAGGATAAGAACAAAACGTTTATCGGCTGGCTCCTTACAGATAGCATTCAATAAGTTGCTACGAATCCGAGTGGTAGTACAATGCGTGTCGCATCCCACAAAAGGATTGATCAACGTCGAAGACCTGATCTTATTTTGTGGGGTTTTCCACCAAAGTTTGACGATATTTTTCGCACTTTCTCTCCAAGTTTTGCCTTTCGTAAACAAAACAGTGCTATGACACTGCCCACATTGATGATTCATTAGCAGGTCCAACCAGTTGTGTCCCGTTTGTTACACAACGTCGCGACCTACGTCCCTCTCATATGACGCCTTTTAGTGACTATTCTTAACAACATTTGTCTTACGTTTGATCCCTCTGTTTCAAATTGCATTTTTGGCGGAATTACATTTACTTTTCTGCTACAGCAAATTTCCCAGATGCTGTCACCCTTCTTACCTCAGTCGTATCTTCCCATCCAATCAAATAAAACTTGTATTCACTCGAGACTCTCGCTTGATCGATGCTGTGATTGGAACAGGGAACATAGGTGAAGGAAACCCTATCTCCCTTTCTCCTTTCGCCACCTTCAACCAGCTGGTATGGCCCACTTTAAGAGGTACGTACAGAGCTTATCCCCCCACATTGGGTTCACGTTTCACACTTTACAACGTTGCTATTATGGTTCCTTTTGGAGAGCTAAGCCGGTGGCGCAATGCATCCCAACTGGCGGTGGGGCGTTTTTACCAGTCACTTTCCAGGTCCACTTGTGCTTTCCTTTGTAATTTGTTCCAAGAGTGTATGGGAAGGAGCCAGTTCACTCCTGCCGTTGGGGAGTCGGGTTCAGTTCCCGCTAGGGAAGTTTATGGGAATTTCCGAGTTACACATTTATGGCCGCCCAGGAATACAGCTGGAGAATACAGCTGAGCCATTGATTGAGATTTATGCTGGTGAATTCTTTCGCGAGTGCTGGGACAGTGTGTACCCTGCACATCTGGATGTGCCCCCTCCCCACACCTTTTCTTGATTTCGTCACACTCTTTGATGCATTTCTCGACCTCCCTCTCATGATCGGTTAATGTAGGGGTAACGGCCAACAAAGGCAAGAGGAAAATCATCACCAGAAGTTTCATTTCGACGACCGGCTCGTTCTCAGACGAATCCAAGACTGGGTCAAAGCCTTTTCCCATAACTCAGCATTGTGAGCAGGAACGGAACCGTTTCACATGGGGAGTTCTTGAGTAGACTTCTCACGAATCTCTCCTCCGTTGACTCCTCACCCAAGTGGACCCTGGTTTGATAACGTCTCAACTTCATTTCTCACATTACTTTGCCTAGTTCTTCGTTTATTTTTTGTACTAATTCCAACTGAGCTTTTTTTCTTATTATAGGATATGAACGTCTTATCGATAGTCGTCCTTACTATTTCGCTGTACATTCTGTTCATGCTTAGCAAATGTAAAAACTTCAGACAGCAGAATCGTTTCTGCGCTGCTGACTGCGGTTTGGTAAAGGTACCTAGTTGTGATCATTAGCAAACTACAACAAAGAGCGGTAGATAAAATAAACATAATTAAGTTAGATATTACAAGAACAGTGATCGTGAGTTATTGGCTAAAGTCTGCATCCCATGCGCGGACTCGAACTCAGGCCTTGCGCAATCCCTAAGGACGCGTATTACGTACAGCCGATATCCTAGCTCAACAGTAGGGCGTGTGAGGGGGGGGGGCACCAGCCTGAAGAGCTTTCGAAGCGGCCTTTTCCGTCAGTTCTGCCGCTCTGAGCTCCTCACAATTGGTGGAAATAGCCTGCCGCACTTTTTGGCCGCACTTCTGCAAGCGCCCTATCGCTTGCAGAGACCAACGGATAGCGCATAGCCCTTTATGCATGACGTCGAGCCTTGGAACCCATTTGGAGTTAAGACTTTGCACACAACTAAGCACTCCTGTGAAAACGTTCGGAGCACCAAATGCGGCGTCAAACAGCAATTATTAAAAATGGGTGAAGAAAGAACTCACAAGTTCATTGCTTTGATAAAGTTGATTATAATGCTGTTTCACGTAGCCTCTGATTTTCTCATTAATTTTAAATCGATAAAAATTTTCAGTGTCCCATGTCAAAGTGAATCTTCGCGTCTCAAAACAACCAATGCCACCTGGATCACCACGAAAAGGTCTCAATAATCATAAATATGCAGTCGATCACATCAAAGTGTATAAGGTGAGTGTACACGGCGGCTTCGATTGAAGACATTTCGTTGAAACTCTTGCTCATTGTTATATATGTATAACCCTTTGAAGTACTAGTGACAGCATGTAGTAGTAAACGTCTGCGCCTTCATGGTTTCTTTTCCTTGACCGCGGCGTGAGATAGACTTCCAGCAGGTTCGAGGTTGCTGAACCGCGGTGCGTTGTTCGTATGGTTGCAGCTTTCTTTTTTTATGCCTTTCCAGCTCTCCTGGATCTTGCTTACTGCAGAATGAAATGATCCCTTCTCATCTCTAGGCTGTTTCTGCTGATCGGCTTTGCCGCGACATGATTAAAAAACCATATTAGAAGCACGTCCACCGTCTTCGAGTTGTCTGCTGGTTGCGGTTGCCATTCTTCGATTTAGTAGAGAATAGCACTGCATTAGCCTCTTGGCGGCTTCGCTCAATACACTGTGCTAGACTCTTCACCTTCTTTCCGTGAGATTCTTCTTGTCTTGATTGCTCTAAGGTGCTGAAGAGTTTGATGTACCCCTTCCTTTCCGTAAGCTGTGTCATAAGATCTGCGCGAGTCATAGCAAACTCTGTCACTCACAATTTGGTACACTCTTCAAGTTAGTTCTTCTAGCTCCACGCTGTAGTCCATAACGGTAAAGCGTTTCTGAAGGT